TGCAGATGTTACAGAGAGCGCCCTGGGAACGTTGGGGCGTGAAGGAGGGGCGCATCCGAGCTGCTGCCCGGCCGTATTGGCTACAAAAGGGAGCTCTTGCCTGCCCTTTTCCGTGGGTGCATACGTGTTTGCACGCGTGTACCTGCGTGTGTATGTGTGTGAGGCATGCATAGCTATGTGTTTTATAAGGTTGACACCACCCCTTCTCCGCAGTTTTTGTCTGAGTTTCCTCACTAGACGTGATACTGGAAGCACGGAGTAGTCCTCACAGCATAATGTCTAACGGCTGCACACGCGGCTGTCATGTAAGCCCCCAGCCCTGTCACCCCTCACTAGCTTGTCTGCCACGCGTCCCGCCGTAAATAATGCCGCGACAGAGGCTCCTGTGGCCTCTGGTCACCCCCAGAACCGCCGGGCCGGGCGCCTCACGCTCTGGCTGCCGGCGCTCCTTGCACCGCCCCTCGGGGCAGCTGAAGTCATGCCTCTTCCCTGATGCCTTTTGTGGGGAGAACTTCCCGCACCCACTTCTGGTCGCAGAGCAAACTGGGCCGAGGAGAAGCCAGGGGACATGTCACAGCGGGCGTGGGTGGGGGGCACACTGGTCTCGGTCACCAGGGACCCCAGGGGCTGGGTTCAGTCATGGCGGGCTTCCTGGTGGCCGTGGTCCCGAAGGGCCCGGGTACGGAGAACGGAGGGCAGGCGGGCTCAGGGGCAGAGGCTCCGGCGCAGACCAGAGCGGCAGAGCCGGTCCCGCAGGCCCTGCAGAGCGTGTGGTTCTCGGAGGGGGAAGGGGGGCTGTGAAGCGGGGGGAGGTCTGCCCTCCAGCCCCCCTCGCCCCTCAACCTGCACCTCCCCGGAGCACTGCTTGGACCCAGGCACCTGCCCTGGGCAGAAGCTTTGAGACTCCTGGGTGCTGCCCAGCCGAGCCTTAACCAGCTCCCTAGCCCTGCCCCCTCCCCCTCCCCACTGCCCCGGCAGGAACCCGCACTCCTGCCAGGCTGGGCCCAGGTCTCCCCTGTGCTTCCGGACTCCCCCTTGCTGGCCCCTCCCCCTCCCCCTGGTCCTCTTCCCATCCCTCCGCTGTGATGGTCGGTCACACTCCGGCTGGGCCTGGGCGTTCCCTGTGGGCACATCTCGCCGGCCACGTGTGGCCTCGAGGGCGTGTGCCGTGGCTCCTGCCTTATCAGACGGGAACCATCTGGGAGCCAGTGCCGTGTCTCAGTCCCACGTGTGTGTGTCCTCAGTCCCACGTGTGTCCTCAGTGTCCCCTGCAGGCCTCCTGCCACGCCCTCTGCCCCATGGGGCTGCGCCAGGCGGGTACGGGCTCCGTCCCGGCCCTCCTCTTGGTCATCAGTCTGCGGGTGGCCCTGCAGGCCGCCGGGGCCCGGCTCTGGAGACAGGGCCAGGGAGAAGCGTCCGGCCTCCAGCGGCCCAGCCTGGTGGGGAGCAAAGCCGCGAGGCTGGGACGGGGGCAGGTGCGGGGGACCCCCGGGAGAGGAGGCGCCTCCCTCCTAGGGGAGCAGGATGAGAGTGATCTTAGGGTGACTTGCACTCACAGAAGTGAGGCGAGGGAGCAGTGAGGTGAGGCGGCCACACAGTCCCCGGGGCCCTGCCGTGTGAGTCTCTGCTATTTGCTGTTGTCATCAGCTGTAAACAAAGGTTTAAAGGCCGCCAGCTCCGGCCCTCTTCCCTCCTGCACTCTGCTCCCCCAGAGAGTGACCGGGGCCTTAGCTCAGGTGCTGTAACCAACCCCCACGGACGGACGGACGGATGGGGCGGTTGGAATGACACAAGTTTAGCCTCCCGGTTCTGGAGGTGGAAGTCTGAGGCCCAGGTGCCAGGCCACTCCATTCCTGGTGAGGGCTCGCAGATGGCAGAGAGGGGGAGCTTGGCTCCAGGGTTGAAGGTCAGGGCAAGCCCAGGGGCAGGGCAAGGTCGGCAGTCTGGACCTCCAGGTCCCCGAGCCCATCCTGAGGGCCTCATCCTCCAGACCGCATCGAAACCGAATTCCCAAAGGCCCCTCCTGACACCATCACTTTGGAGTTTATGGCTTTACCGTGTGAATTTGGGGGACACGATTCATCCGTAGCACCTGGTTGTCAATCTGCCTGCCTCTCTCTAGCACATGTACACATGCACACACACACGCATACATACACGCACACGCACGCACACACTATTACAGAGATGTAATAAGAGATGAACAGCGCACTGTCCTGAACGATTGTGCCTGGGCACCTTGCTAAGCACTGTGGATGCGTTTTGTCATTTCATCCTCCTAATTATCCTGTGAGGCTTATTTCCATTGTCCTGATAGGAACACTGAGCCCTACAGACATGAAATAACTTTTCCGAGATCGTGTCGGAGCCGGAATTTGAACCCAGTCATTCCGCTGCTTGCTTTCCCCTCCAGCAACCTGCCTTGGAGATCTCTCCCGTCAGGGCCAACAGCCCTGCTTTGCTCTTTGAACTGCGGCCTGGTGCCCCGCAGTGCAAACATCCCGCGGCTCCTAACCCTTCTCTTACGGATGGACATGTAGGGTTTCACCTTTGCAAATACCAGCACGGGGAAGCTTTGACAGAGGAGGTGCTATAGCAGCTGGGTTTTGAGGTATGAGTAGGAGTTTTCCAGCAGACGAGACAAAAAGGCAGTCCAAGCGGACAAGAGGACATGGGCAAAGGGGAGGCCCACAAGAGTGGGGTGCACTTGGAAGAGGGCAAGAATTTAAGCCAGAGCAAAGGCGAGGGGCAGGGGAGCCCGGGGAAGGGGCAGCCCAGGGCTTGTGAACTCTGGTGCTGCATTGGTGCTTGCAGGAGCCAAGGAGGGCGAGGGGCCTGGTCAGAGGTGCCCTTTGGGAGGCCTGGAGGGAGCGCAGGGAGAGGCAGGGCGATGTGCGAGGCTGTTCTCCAGACTCTAGCCCAGAGGTCCCCAGCCTTTTTCTGGCCGCGCCCCACCTAAGCGTTTCTAAAATCCTAATGCCTCCCCTCCCCCCCGTGACATATAATTCTCATTATTCAAAAAGTGAACCCCTATCCACATGGAGGAAGCCCCAAAGGCCACAAACTTGGTCTAAACCAGCTTCCAAAGAACATGATGTCCATGAAGGAGAAAAATAAAAGAACGGAAGGACAATTGAAGTTCTGAGGAAGAAATCACTAAGAAATTGTTAAATTAATATGAAGTGATATGAAAAAATAGCAAAGTTTCAAAATATATAACAGAGAACTGAAATGCATAAACGTGTCACGATACATATTTATATACTAACTACTCCATATGAGGCCCCTAGAACCATAAATGCAAAAAAAATTCACTAAATAACTCATTCTCGAATTGCCCCCCTTAAAAATCACATCGCCCCCCTGTGGGCGTGTGCCCCACGCTGGGAGCCGCTGCTCTAGACGAAGGTGGGGGCGGGGGCCAGGATGTGGGTGGGGGTGGAGGGAAGGCTGATCAGGGGGCTGAGGGGTGGATACACTGATGTGGGCAGAGAGAAAGGGGGGGTAAGGGGATCCCCCCGCGGCCCGGGGCAGGAGATGGCGATGCGGGACACGAGGGACCGCATGGCTCCAAAACTCCGCGGGGAAAGCGCTCCAGCCTCCGCCGTCCCTCCAGACACAGACGAATGCCTGGGGTCGCCCTGCCAGCAGCGATGCAGGAACAGCATCGGCAGCTACTCGTGCTCCTGCCGGCCCGGCTTCCATCTCCACGGCAACCGGCACTCCTGTGTAGGTGAGGCCGGGGACCCTGTAGGCTGCCAATCAGGGGGATGGACAGATCAGGGACAGGGACGGACAGGGAGAGGCCGGCCAGCAGGCAGTCGGCACCTCCTGGTCCCCGAGCCTGTCAGCCCGCGACCCTCCGCTCAGGCCGGCCTTTGGGCCCGCGGGCTCCTCATGGAAGACCCCGCTTTGGGCTTTTCCTGGCCGAGTGCCAGTTCATCCTGTTGTTGCCCTCCCACCCCTCCTCCCAGAGACACCCCAGGGTTCCTCTCTTCCCTCCTTTTCTTGGCCGCCTGTGCTCCCCTTGGTAAATGAGGCCCGTTCTGCCTTAGCACCTCTGGTTTCGGAGGAGACCCTGTCTTCTCAGCCCTTAGCAGGAGTTTCCAGGGTCTGTGGCTGGAGCGGGGCTCGCGGGCGGAGCTGGGGTCCCGGGGCGGAAACAGGACCGTGTTCCAGCCGAACTCGGTGTGTGTCCTGAGGCCCGGGCAGGGCACTGAGACTCTTTTCTCGGAAGGGGCCACCCCACCAACCCCGCCGGGTGGGATGGTGCGGTGTGGATAGCGGTTCCCAGCGGGCTCCTCCCCTCTGGCCAGCACTGGATCACTGCTGCCCGCTGCTGGGGATGAGGCCCTGGCGCACCCATTAGACGCCCACTGGATGCATGACCCCGCGAGGGCCCCAGCATAGACCAACCCCGCTGCCGGCCTCTGAGTCACCCCCACCCCCCGGGCAGGGAGACTGCGGCCTTTGGGGCTAAGGGATGATGGGAGAAAGGCCTGGTAGCCCTGACGAGGCAGCTGTGGGCAGCGAGGCTCTCCTGCAGATGTCAACGAATGCCGGAGGCCGCAGGAGCGGCGGGTCTGCCTCCACCCCTGCCA